CGATGCAACTTATGCTCTCCTAATACAAATGTTGAAATTTATGAAAATTTTCAGTTTTGAGCCAAATACGAGGGTTAGTCGAAAAGTAATGGAAAATTCAAGTTGTTTTTTGAAAAAGACCCGATGCAACTTATGCTCTCCTAATACAAATGTTGAAATTTATGAAAATTTTCAGTTTTGAGCCAAATACGAGTGTTAGTCGAAAAGTAATCGGAAATTAAAGTTGTTTTTTGAAATTTCATCCAATGCAACTTATGCTCTCCTAATACAAATGTTGAAACTTATGAAAATTTTCAATTTTGAGCCAAATACGAGGGTTAGTCGAAAAGTAATGGAAAATTCAAGTTGTTTTTTGAAATTTGATTCATCTATAACTTTTTGACCGGCCCTCGTATATGACGCAAAACTGAAAATTTTATTAAATGTGAAAATTTGTATTAGGATAGCATAAGTTGGTAAAGATCTTTTTCAAAGTTGCAATTTTTAGCGCGGGATCAACTTTATATAGCAGTTTTGTTTTCTTTTATTCGACGTAGTTCGGCCTTGAAATGTTTAATTGCAGTAGTAGTATCAAAATTTATTTTTATTTGCAGTATTATAACTATAAATCCAATTTCTCAAAAAATGTTATTTTTAATAAGTAAAACGCCATTTACACTAAAACGAAGTTTATTTAGCAATTTTATTACATATTTCAATTTACATAAAACAAAATTTGTTTAATAATACATTTATTGTTGTAAATTAATAGCACTTATAATAAACATCAACAGATAGGTATTTCAAATAACAATACATGAATATAAACAAAATATCTAAGATATAATACATTCTAACGACTTATAAAAGTTCGAAATAAAATACCTGTAAGAGGATATCAATAAAATTTCAAAGAAAATACAATTATTATACATAAACTGTCATACCATTATTATTTAAATGCAAGATTAGGGAGAAAAAAGCCCATATATTTATTAATTACACTAATTACAACATATTTATCTCANAAAGGAAACATATACTTCGCCTTAATTCATTCGCACCTAACTTACCTAGCACCTATATGGGGGCAAGCAGGCAAAACAATTTTACACCAACTTCAAACGATACAAAATCAGGCAATAAAAGCTATACACAATCTACCACATAGATACCCAACAGAACTAATGTATGCCCAGCAACAAATACCAAAAATAAACCAAATAATAGACACGGAAACAATATGGCTAATACACCAAATCATAACTAAAACATGCAAGAGCAATATACAACTACAATTCAATAAGGACAAGCACACCCATCACACAAGACAACAAAACCACCTAGCAAAGAGACAATATAATACCCACAAGACGGGAGTCAACACATTTTTAAATAGATGTATAAACCTGTACAATGAACTTCAAAAAAAAATCCCAAAAAAACTAACGAAGAAAAAGATCAAAAACTGGATAATAAACAAACAAGAATAAAGTCGAACAAAAATTTAGCCAAAACCAAAAGATAAAGTGCAATAAAAGTTCAAAGAAACTATATCCAATCTTAAGTTAGAAATATATAGATTAAGCTACTAGTATTAATTAGGTTAAGTTAAGATTAAGGTAGGTTAACATGCCAGATGTAGCTCTAGATTGAGAAGCGTATCCGGGTAACTGTAAACGCTTCTCGGTGAGCAAATTACAATATACAATAAACAATAATATCAAGTTTGGATGTTTGATTAAACTGTTTGTTTATTTTTATATCTTTTATGTATTATCAGGGCTTAACCAGTTACTTGATTGATTAATAAATACACAAAATAACGTATTTTACTGTGGTTACAATTTAATCGTTTTTAGCAAATTAATACGTTTTCATTTATAGGATTTCTTATTTAAGTAAATTTTACTTTTATCGTCAATTTATCTAGTTTAAAATGAACGACACGATCAATAAAACAAAAATATTCTAATTGTAAACTATTATAAAAACATACACGATAACGTTAACTTGCAGATTTATCGTGTTCCTGTGGTATAATAAAATACAATCGAATGGACAATTTATTATTGCAATAATTAGCGGTTTATATAAAGTAATATCATTAAATCTAAAATCTTTAAAATCATACCCAAAGTATTCCAAAGTTCTCTATTAGTGTCGAAGGAATGAAACTTCTCTTCGTATCATTAATATCATCACATTGTGACAGGCCATTTATATGTTCCTTAGTATTATAAAGCCTATTTAAAAACAATAAATTAGTTTATAGCAACTATCTACTTATTCTATTTAAATACGCTTTCTTATATATATATTTGGAATAATACCTTTCGAGTGTTCCTTAATTTGTGGATATTCCTGTTACATGGTGTTTATGCAGTGACATATCTTGAATGACGTCACAGTGTCATACCCGTGACATACCTTTATTGAAATTAAAATGTTGTTTACTATTATACAGATTTATATTTAAACCAAAAAGCAAGTAAAGTAAATAACAAGCGTTATCTTCACGCCATTTTACATCACAACCACAGATAAATGTTAAATATCACGTCCCTAGACTAGGAAATAGATGTAAAATTCGCGAGATTTTGACGATACTAGTGACATCTAAGTTTACCCCACATTAGTAGACGATGCTTGGAATATATATATAAATGTTACTGGCAAAGAAAACTTCGAATTTCACTGCCATTTATACATAAAACTATGAAGCGTAACTTAAGGCGCACATTTTAAATTTATTCCAAATTTTATTTTATTTTTTGTTTTAATTGGAAATTGAAAAAAAAAAACAAAAATAATATTAACAAATTTAATAACAAAGTATAAATGCAGTAATGCCTTTGGTTACGCTTCATAGTTTTATGTATAGATGGCAGTGAAATTCGAAGTTTTCTTTGCCAGTACCATTTATATATATATTCCAAGTATCGTCTACTAATGTAGGGTAAACTTAGATGTCACTACTATCGTTCAAACTCGTTCATTGTAATTAAATAAAAATGGCATTTTCATGCTTTCTTCAGGGCCACGAGTGCAGCTACATTTTAGAGTGATTCATAACTGATACCACCATATTTTAATGGAATTTGGAGTTCTTCCAGTGTTCCTTTAAAATGAAATCTTATTGAAAATTATTCGGATATAATTAATTTAGCCTCCGTAGTAAATAATAACCCCAATTAATTAACTGCAATAGCCTCCAAGATGAAAAGTTAACACATAAAACATCATAGGAGGGAGACGATTTGTTTTCTCAGCAGTATCAAAATGAACTTCAATCTCCTCACTCGTTTATCTTCAATCTATAAAAATAAACAAATAACGAATTAAAAATTGTATGAGGTAAATAAACAATGAAATGGAATAAAAACACAAAAAGCAAGTAAACTGTTATTTTTAAAATGACGATTAGGCATAGCTTCTCTTTCAAGACGACATTCATCATAAATGCATACAATAATTATAATAAACAAACTAGACGCCTTTTAGGCGGAAAGTTAAAATTTTTCTTCCGACACTCAAATTAAAAGCCAACATATATGCGGGAAATGAACAAAAAAAGAGTTTAAACACTTGTATTAAATAAATGAAACATGAAATAAAACAAAAACATGTAATCAAAAGCAAATAAAATAGTAAAATTTTAAAATGGCGACTGCTTCAAAACATACCTTTAACAATTTTGTCGATTTAATTTATACTGTGGATCATAGGGAAAAATAACAATACAGTATGAATCAATCTCAATAGCCTTTGAGTATTACACGTAGAAAAAATAAAATTAATTCTGGGAAAAAATTAGTTCGTTAAGTCGAATTGAAAAGACGCGAACAAAACATCTTGTAACTACGAACCACTTCTCTTCAGAAGTTCTCGTCTCTTTAGCCCAACGCATTTCAAGTTTTCCACGATATAATGAATACCACATGAAGCACCGATGACGTACAAACGTTACGCAGAAGCTCCAAATTAAATTTCTAGGACGGTTCGCGGCAAATATTTCGTAATGTAACCAATCATGTAACTAGTTTCATCCCGTTTTACAGAAATGAATTATTGTGCGTTTTTGCTTGATGATCACAACTCTAAAAATAACTGAATACAAGAGCGAGAGAGACAGTGAAACATGAAAATGATGATTCTAAATTGAGTTACGGATATTCTGGAATATAAATTAATATTTAAAGATGAGACTAGAAATAAAATAATAAATAATANGCCCAGCAACAAATACCAAAAATAAACCAAATAATAGACACGGAAACAATATGGCTAATACACCAAATCATAACTAAAACATGCAAGAGCAATATACAACTACAATTCAATAAGGACAAGCACACCCATCACACAAGACAACAAAACCACCTAGCAAAGAGACAATATAATACCCACAAGACGGGAGTCAACACATTTTTAAATAGATGTATAAACCTGTACAATGAACTTCAAAAAAAAATCCCAAAAAAACTAACGAAGAAAAAGATCAAAAACTGGATAATAAACAAACAAGAATAAAGTCGAACAAAAATTTAGCCAAAACCAAAAGATAAAGTGCAATAAAAGTTCAAAGAAACTATATCCAATCTTAAGTTAGAAATATATAGATTAAGCTACTAGTATTAATTAGGTTAAGTTAAGATTAAGGTAGGTTAACATGCCAGATGTAGCTCTAGATTGAGAAGCGTATCCGGGTAACTGTAAACGCTTCTCGGTGAGCAAATTACAATATACAATAAACAATAATATCAAGTTTGGATGTTTGATTAAACTGTTTGTTTATTTTTATATCTTTTATGTATTATCAGGGCTTAACCAGTTACTTGATTGATTAATAAATACACAAAATAACGTATTTTACTGTGGTTACAATTTAATCGTTTTTAGCAAATTAATACGTTTTCATTTATAGGATTTCTTATTTAAGTAAATTTTACTTTTATCGTCAATTTATCTAGTTTAAAATGAACGACACGATCAATAAAACAAAAATATTCTAATTGTAAACTATTATAAAAACATACACGATAACGTTAACTTGCAGATTTATCGTGTTCCTGTGGTATAATAAAATACAATCGAATGGACAATTTATTATTGCAATAATTAGCGGTTTATATAAAGTAATATCATTAAATCTAAAATCTTTAAAATCATACCCAAAGTATTCCAAAGTTCTCTATTAGTGTCGAAGGAATGAAACTTCTCTTCGTATCATTAATATCATCACATTGTGACAGGCCATTTATATGTTCCTTAGTATTATAAAGCCTATTTAAAAACAATAAATTAGTTTATAGCAACTATCTACTTATTCTATTTAAATACGCTTTCTTATATATATATTTGGAATAATACCTTTCGAGTGTTCCTTAATTTGTGGATATTCCTGTTACATGGTGTTTATGCAGTGACATATCTTGAATGACGTCACAGTGTCATACCCGTGACATACCTTTATTGAAATTAAAATGTTGTTTACTATTATACAGATTTATATTTAATTAGCTGTTTATCTATCTCACAGTTTTTGAAATAAATTTTACACACACAGTATTCTAAAATTATTTCTAAGTAAAATCGTACTCATAAAATTAATAGAAATTGTATATGTCTAATTAATCTAAATTAATTTTATTTTGACATTTTTATAGGATCATGCATGTGTATCTATTATCTATGATCTCACCCATAAGCTTTTGTGTCTATTATCTATGCCCATAAGTTTATCCATAGATAATTATATATCTCATAATCTATATCCAGTATTTAGAATATAGTCGAAGCGACGAATGTGGAATATCTCTTATGGTTCATTATCTATGGGTCATTACCTATTATCTGTGGTCATAACCAGTTACAACCCTAGACTAGTTATAACACAACATAACCTGCAAGGCGTAACGAATGTGGGATCGTTTTGTCGACGTTTGTTTTGTGTAACAAGTCAATCCTTGGTTTTAATTTTAAGTGGTATTTATACAAGTATTATATGCATTATTGTCATTATTTGTTGATAATTCTCTATATTATCGTCTCTGTAACTTAATAATTCCTTTCAATTTTAAGTTTCAGAAATGGGTTCGAGCAGTAAGAAATCTAAAGATAAAGATAGGAAACGTCGACATAGTAGCCGTAGTAGTTCCCTAGAGCGCGAATATCGTGAGAAAAAACATAGGCATCATAAAAAACATCATAAAGAAAAGAAAAAAGAAAAGATAATAAAGCAATATGAATATGAAAGTGATTGTAAGTATGTGTATTTATTTATGTACTGGTTTCTATTAAGTTTTGTTAATTATGTTTTAGCTTCTGATGTTATTGAAGTTATCCCTGATGAAGAAGCTTCTACTCCTCCTCCTCCTAAAATTCAGTGCATTCATTCTCCTGAAATTGGACATGGTCAATCATCAGAAAGTTTATCAGTAGACGAAACAAATAAACTAAGGGCAAAGTTAGGACTTAAACCTTTACACATTGACAGTAAATCAGACAAAAGCTCAAAACAAAAAGAAGACGGAAAAAGAAAAGATGATTTGGGGGAATTTTATCACAAACCAGCAGTAAATATTGCTACAAAGCATCAACAGGAAAAGATACGAGAAAAACTGACACAACATAAAGAGAAACGCCACTTGGACCAAAAACTTTCTAAAGTGAAGTTGCTTGGTGAAGCTGATAGTGATATTGATGATACATTAAAATGGATTGAAAAAAATAAGAAAATTGTTAAAGCTAGACAGGAAGCTGAGAAAAGAGTAAGATATAATTTTACCAAAGTATAGAAAAAGTGATGTACCTAATGACTTTTAGGCAAAAATGTTGGAAGAATTAGATGCTCAGTTTGGTGTAGGAGAAGTAGTAGAATCTGAGCAGCGACTCAAAAGAAATTTACAGTATACTGAAAAGAACTTACATGGCTTAGAGGTAGAACATGACACTGAAAATTTTAAAGAGGGCCAAACCATTGTTTTAACTCTTAAAGATAAAGACGTTTTAGATGAAGACGCAGATGTTTTAGTTAATGTTAATTTGTTGGAAGATGAAAGATACAAAAAGGTGAGTAATTAATCTTATTTATTTATTTATTTATTTACTAACTTTAATTTTTGTAGAATGTAGAAAACAAAAAGCAAAAACCAGATTATAATCCTTATGATATAGAGGATATAGATGAATTTGGCAATTTAAAAACTAAATCTTTACTTTCTAAATATGATGAAGAAATTGAGGGCACAAAGAAAAATAGCTTCAGGATTGGTTTTGATAATGCTGCTGAACGTAGACAGGTAATAATGAATACTGTTAAAGAAAAACTTGCAAATAAGAGGCTAGAAAGTCTGCAAACACCAGAGCTTACAATAGCCTCTGATTATTATTCAGAACAAGAGTTGGCCAAATTTAAGAAGCCTAAAAAGAAAATAAAAAAATTACGATCAAAACCACAGACTATTGTTAGTGACCCAGAAGGCTCAAAGTTTTATACCAGAAGACCTAAGATTAAAGAAGATACAGATACCATTATTACAGATGATGTTCCTGGTAATTTTATTAAATTTCTTTTTACAAATGCAATTACAAACCTTAATTACATTTAGTTATGTAATCTAAAAATAGTTTTCATTCACTTCATTGTTATTCACATTTCTTTATATGTAATTCTTGCAGCTGTGGATATTAAGCCAGATATTAAAGTAGAAGAGGACATTGATGACACATTGGAAAGAGCTTTGCATAAAGCGAGAAAATTAAAACAGAAGGAGGCAATTACAACTAATAGTTTTACTTCTGTTTCTGGTATAAAAGATGAGCCACAAGAAGATGGATTAGATCCAGGTGCTATTGTTTTAAACACAACTGCAGAGTTTTGCAGAACCCTTGGTAAATACATTATTGATAATATTGTAACAGTTTTAATATAAAGATAAAATAAACTGCCATTAAATTATTTGAAGGAAAGGCGGAAATGACGAAAAATTGTAACAAACGTAGCATCAATGTGACTTTCACTTTATTTTAAATAGGGATATAAAAACTGGCAAATGCAAAACATGTTTAATTTAGAATAATCTAGATTCTAAAATAGCAGAATCGTTTCAAACAAAAAAGAAGTAATGGTCAATTTCTAGTATAGCTAGAAGTCGTATCGTCATATTGTTTAATCTATTATGGCATTTTATTTTTGTGCTTCCTTTTAATAGATAGTAAAAAGAAAATTACTTTCTTTATATTTGTTTTGTCAAGAAAAAACTAATATATTATTTTACTCGGTGTGTAGGAGATATTCCAACATACGGTAAATCTGGGAATCGCGAGGACACTGAAGATTTATTAGATTATGAAAAGGATGCTCATGAAGACGTAGAAATGGATATGGAAGCGGTAGAGGAGACTACCGGAGGTTGGAATGCTGTCGATCCCAATCGTTCTCAAGAAGTTTCCGTCGTTGCCCCTTTCGAAGTTCCCATTCTTGATGAAGAACCGGATGTCGGTTCGGGCGTAGGAGCCGCTTTAAAATTGGCAATGAGCAAAGGCTACCTCGAAAAAGAGGACAAAGCGCGTCCGTCAAATTCTAAATTAGCTCATTTGCAAGCACAACATTATTCAATAGAAGATAAAAGTTACGGGGAAGATTTCGATCGTGGTGCAAGACGTGAACGGTACACTGGTCCTATTATGGACTTTAAAGAGAGAGATGCTTTCAAACCGAATGTTAAATTAGAGTATATAGACGATGAGGGACACGTATTGAATGCGAAAGAAGCGTTCAGATATTTATCACATAAGTTCCATGGAAAGGGACCCGGGAAAAATAAAATCGAAAAGAGACTTAAGAAACAGCAACAAGAAGGGGTATGTTTTATACAAATACATTCGTCATTTCTCATTTTTAAAAGTAGTCAAATTCAGTAATCCTACGAATAAGCCTTCAAATGTGTTCAAGTACAAGCAAGCTGAAAAATGCTTTTACAGTCAGTTTCGCTGTGAATCTTTGAAGTTCAAAAATTGAAAACGCCATTTTAATATGAAATATAACTTTGATTTTGTTTGTGGCAAGATGTACATAGTTCGAGTATTGAAGTTTCATTGTAATTTGTTGAGTTTAACTATTCACTTCTCTTTCAATTTCTAAAACTATGACCAACTTTGCTTAAAATTTTTTGTTACTTACCCATAAATGCATATATTTTAATTGCAGTTGATGAAAAAGATGAGTTCAACAGATACTCCATTGGGCACCCTCAATATGCTCCAAGCCAAACAAAAGGAGATGCAATCCCCGTTCATTGTATTATCTGGGGGTAAACATACCCATTCTACGACAATTTCCAAGCCTAGAAATTAAACTTTAACTTAAAATCTATATTTATTTATCGTATCCTATATTCATAAGGAGATTAACTTTCTTTTAGATTGTAATTGAGAATCAGTTTAAACTACGTATTAATTGACGATAATAGGAAATATTTTAAGCAAGTTTAAAATATGTATATCAAGGCGGAACGCGATTTTAAAAAACTATAATGTTTCAATCCACATCTCCACTTTTCTGTAGAGAAATAAAAGCAACTTATTATAATTTATTTAATAAGTGTACGAAGATTCGTACCAACATCAAATTATAATGTTTAATATGTATATACAGCCATGAATATATTAAAATAATTATTATTTATGTGAACGTTATGAAATCGTTGAGTTTTATTTCATTGACCGTATTCCGAAAAAAAGTGAGTACGTAAGAGATTGGGATAGCCTTGTCACTTTTGGCCCAAATAATACTGATTGTTCTTAACATGTTTTTTTTTACAATTTTGTATTTTTTTTGTCATTAAAGTAACAAAACATTCCCAGAAACATCTCTTCGCAAATAGTACTAGTTTTAAACATATTTTTACAGTTTATCGTGTCCTGTTCCTTACAACCCACAATAGTATTTCCTCCAAAGCTTTGCTAACAATAAGTTCAGTCTTTTCTATTTTGTTATATGGGAACAAAATTTCCATTCATCATCTTTCGAAACGAACATTATTGCTGTTGCAAAAGAAACAGGATCACATCTTAAAAATAAATGAAATCAGATTTACTGCAGTAGGTGACAAAATGTTCATTCTTTCTTTTTACGGGACATGTGTAAGAAATGTACAAAATTTTCATAAATATCTTATTTACAAACACAGAAATAATGGCATATGTACACTACAACTCGAGTGGGACCGCTGCGCTAGGATGCTTGTAAGTATATGCGTGTATCCACATGCATATACCGTCCTAATGCGAAACAATGAAATAAAATAACCATTATAACTTTTAGTGTGATGTATGTATTTGTCAGATAACGGGCACTGGGATACTGAGGACTTCGGCCGCGCCTGCGCGAACGGTCCCGGGCGCCTCCACTCAGCTTCTTAAATTATCAAAACTTTCACAGAATCAAATCAACTTTTGTAACAAAAAATATATATACGTACGTCTATGATGACGATAATCCAACATAAAAAAACTATACACATAATCGATTTTAAATACATAAACTAAAAAAGTATTACAGTTATATCATGCATCGACAAATTAAATATCAAGAATTTAAATTTTGAATATTTGTATACCAAAATTTTACTACATATGTTAATTTGTTGGAAGATGAAAGATACAAAAAGGTGAGTAATTAATCTTATTTATTTATTTATTTATTTACTAACTTTAATTTTTGTAGAATGTAGAAAACAAAAAGCAAAAACCAGATTATAATCCTTATGATATAGAGGATATAGATGAATTTGGCAATTTAAAAACTAAATCTTTACTTTCTAAATATGATGAAGAAATTGAGGGCACAAAGAAAAATAGCTTCAGGATTGGTTTTGATAATGCTGCTGAACGTAGACAGGTAATAATGAATACTGTTAAAGAAAAACTTGCAAATAAGAGGCTAGAAAGTCTGCAAACACCAGAGCTTACAATAGCCTCTGATTATTATTCAGAACAAGAGTTGGCCAAATTTAAGAAGCCTAAAAAGAAAATAAAAAAATTACGATCAAAACCACAGACTATTGTTAGTGACCCAGAAGGCTCAAAGTTTTATACCAGAAGACCTAAGATTAAAGAAGATACAGATACCATTATTACAGATGATGTTCCTGGTAATTTTATTAAATTTCTTTTTACAAATGCAATTACAAACCTTAATTACATTTAGTTATGTAATCTAATAATAGTTTTCATTCACTTCATTGTTATTCACATTTCTTTATATGTAATTCTTGCAGCTGTGGATATTAAGCCAGATATTAAAGTAGAAGAGGACATTGATGACACATTGGAAAGAGCTTTGCATAAAGCGAGAAAATTAAAACAGAAGGAGGCAATTACAACTAATAGTTTTACTTCTGTTTCTGGTATAAAAGATGAGCCACAAGAAGATGGATTAGATCCAGGTGCTATTGTTTTAAACACAACTGCAGAGTTTTGCAGAACCCTTGGTAAATACATTATTGATAATATTGTAACAGTTTTAATATAAAGATAAAATAAACTGCCATTAAATTATTTGAAGGAAAGGCGGAAATGACGAAAAATTGTAACAAACGTAGCATCAATGTGACTTTCACTTTATTTTAAATAGGGATATAAAAACTGGCAAATGCAAAACATGTTTAATTTAGAATAATCTAGATTCTAAAATAGCAGAATCGTTTCAAACAAAAAAGAAGTAATGGTCAATTTCTAGTATAGCTAGAAGTCGTATCGTCATATTGTTTAATCTATTATGGCATTTTATTTTTGTGCTTCCTTTTAATAGATAGTAAAAAGAAAATTACTTTCTTTATATTTGTTTTGTCAAGAAAAAACTAATATATTATTTTACTCGGTGTGTAGGAGATATTCCAACATACGGTAAATCTGGGAATCGCGAGGACACTGAAGATTTATTAGATTATGAAAAGGATGCTCATGAAGACGTAGAAATGGATATGGAAGCGGTAGAGGAGACTACCGGAGGTTGGAATGCTGTCGATCCCAATCGTTCTCAAGAAGTTTCCGTCGTTGCCCCTTTCGAAGTTCCCATTCTTGATGAAGAACCGGATGTCGGTTCGGGCGTAGGAGCCGCTTTAAAATTGGCAATGAGCAAAGGCTACCTCGAAAAAGAGGACAAAGCGCGTCCGTCAAATTCTAAATTAGCTCATTTGCAAGCACAACATTATTCAATAGAAGATAAAAGTTACGGGGAAGATTTCGATCGTGGTGCAAGACGTGAACGGTACACTGGTCCTATTATGGACTTTAAAGAGAGAGATGCTTTCAAACCGAATGTTAAATTAGAGTATATAGACGATGAGGGACACGTATTGAATGCGAAAGAAGCGTTCAGATATTTATCACATAAGTTCCATGGAAAGGGACCCGGGAAAAATAAAATCGAAAAGAGACTTAAGAAACAGCAACAAGAAGGGGTATGTTTTATACAAATACATTCGTCATTTCTCATTTTTAAAAGTAGTCAAATTCAGTAATCCTACGAATAAGCCTTCAAATGTGTTCAAGTACAAGCAAGCTGAAAAATGCTTTTACAGTCAGTTTCGCTGTGAATCTTTGAAGTTCAAAAATTGAAAACGCCATTTTAATATGAAATATAACTTTGATTTTGTTTGTGGCAAGATGTACATAGTTCAAGTATTGAAGTTTCATTGTAATTTGTTGAGTTTAACTATTCACTTCTCTTTCAATTTCTAAAACTTATGACCAACTTAGCTTAAAATTTTTTGTTACTTACCCATAAATGCATATATTTTAATTGCAGTTGATGAAAAAGATGAGTTCAACAGATACTCCATTGGGCACCCTCAATATGCTCCAAGCCAAACAAAAGGAGATGCAATCCCCGTTCATTGTATTATCTGGGGGTAAACATACCCATTCTACGACAATTTCCAAGCCTAGAAATTAAACTTTAACTTAAAATCTATATTTATTTATCGTATCCTATATTCATAAGGAGATTAACTTTCTTTTAGATTGTAATTGAGAATCAGTTTAAACTACGTATTAATTGACGATAATAGGAAATATTTTAAGCAAGTTTAAATTATGTATATCAAGGCGGAACGCAATTTTAAAAAACTATAATGTTTCAATCCACATCTCCACTTTTCTGTAGAGAAATAAAAGCAACTTATTATAATTTATTTAATAAGTGTACGAAGATTCGTACCAACATCAAATTATAATGTTTAATATGTATATACAGCCATGAATATATTAAAATAATTATTATTTATGTGAACGTTATGAAATCGTTGAGTTTTATTTCATTGACCGTATTCCGAAAAAAAGTGAGTACGTAAGAGATTGGGATAGTCTTGTCACTTTTGGCCCAAATAATACTGATTGTTCTTAACATGTTTTTTTTTACAATTTTGTATTTTTTTTGTCATTAAAGTAACAAAACATTCCCAGAAACATCTCTTCGCAAATAGTACTAGTTTTAAACATATTTTTACAGTTTATCGTGTCCTGTTCCTTACAACCCACAATAGTATTTCCTCCAAAGCTTTGCTAACAATAAGTTCAGTCTTTTCTATTTTGTTATATGGGAACAAAATTTCCATTCATCATCTTTCGAAACGAACATTATTGCTGTTGCAAAAGAAACAGGATCACATCTTAAAAATAAATGAAATCAGATTTACTGCAGTAGGTGACAAAATGTTCATTCTTTCTTTTTACGGGACATGTGTAAGAAATGTACAAAATTTTCATAAATATCTTATTTACAAACACAGAAATAATGGCATATGTACACTACAACTCGAGTGGGACCGCTGCGCTAGGATGCTTGTAAGTATATGCGTGTATCCACATGCATATATCGTCCTAATGCGAAACAATGAAATAAAATAACCATTATAACTTTTAGTGTGATGTATGTATTTGTCAGATAACGGGCACTGGGATACTGAGGACTTCGGCCGCGCCTGCGCGAACGGTCCCGGGCGCCTCCACTCAGCTTCTTAAATTATCAAAACTTTCACAGAATCAAATCAACTTTTGTAACAAAAAATATATATACGTACGTCTATGATGACGATAATCCAACATAAAAAAACTATACACATAATCGATTTTAAATACATAAACTAAAAAAGTATTACAGTTATATCATGCATCGACAAATTAAATATCAAGAATTTAAATTTTGAATATTTGTATACCAAAATTTTACTACATATTTCGATGCTAGTAATGTTCGAAATATACTGTAGCAATACGAATTTTTATTTTATTAAGTTGAAACTTCACGAATTATTAACTATTTAACAAAAACTACTTTCCTATTTTTTTTTATCACAAAACATATAAATTACAGTAACTTATATTTTTTATAAATGCTGCAATTTCAGTTTTAATCTTTTGATTTAATTCTTATTAAATGATCTTATTTTTCTAATTTTATTCGAAAATCAAAGAAATTGACGAAAATGTCGATGCACTTTCTCCCCCTTATCACAAAATCAATTCTGCGATCACTCGGGCTTAGTCTTACTTAACATCTGGCAAATAAATCAGACTTACACTAAACAGTAACTAATTAAACAATAATTACAAGAAAAAGGAAAAACAAACTTGTTCTCTATCCTTAAAATTCGAGATCTCTGAATTTGTCTGTTAATTTTGTACTTTTAAAAACATTAACTCTACGCATCGTGTCACACTTTTTTGTTTTTTGAGCAAGGACCATATTCTTTTCACGTTTGTGTATGTGAGTGTGTGTGCAAGTAAGTAGTTTTCTTCGTCATTAATTTATTAACTGCTATTTACAGAGACCGACTTAACACTTATATAATTCACCGAAAAATGGGGTACGAGGCCCCCGTACGCTTCCCTACTATTACTTCAATAGCAAAATATTTAACACTTTTACTACGATATTTTCCTTACATTTGTTCGTTTATTCGAACGTATATATATAATATCTAATTGTAATTGTCCGAAAAAGCGCGTATGAATGCATTATTTACAAGGGGATTGAATGATATCTACACATTACACCCTTTTCTAATTTTTTATGCAAATATACAAAACAAAACGCACCATTCCAGGCTAGAAAACTGAGAAAAAAACGAGTTTCAACTTAATTATTAAATTAAACAAAAAAATAGGTCCAGTACGCATGAAAACATGTAGATATCAATCTCAACTTTTTTTAACATCGAAAAATAAATCTCCAAAATAAAAACAACCTTTTAACTATGTACACATTACAAAGATGCATAAATATATATATGTATATATATATTAATACTTTCTGATAATTATTAATTATCTACAACTAGTTTTTATAGTAAAAATAAAACTTATCTAGAAATCTGCAATTGCACTGACGAACTACCCCGAATGTCATTGAACGAATGCTCCGAAACTGGTCTCCACACTTTAAAGCTTCTTCTACGATCATAAAAAGGAAAAAAACAAAAAAGTATTTCACGATAACTTCCAACGCTTCTTATCATATAGATATATATAACGATGTTCGATGATTGATGACGATGAAACTAACTGTATTTCTTTCGTTATGAACTTAACTAACAACAACAGAAACGTCAATTTTAATTAGGGAATCGAATAGGAACCGGTCACACCGTTACTGCTTAGCTCCGGTGGTGGAGACGGATTGCGACCCTCGTAAGGAGCGTCGTCATCTGTAAATTAAATTAAAAATTAGAAATCTTTTTTCACTTGGCTAAAGCAAGCCGTTACACAAACGTGGTGTAACGTTTACAAGGACATGCTGTAGAAATGTATAAGAGCAAAAATAAAAAATTTAGAATATGATATCAATGACATTAAAGAAAAAACTAATTCTAATTTTCAAATTTTAAGTGCTCATATCTTAAGAATTTGTATTTGTCATTAGCAAATTTAATTAACCAATAGTCAGCTATTAAATAAATTGTTATAAAAATTTTAAAATAGGTGAATTAAAAGTAATGCAAATTTAACAATTAATTAATGAAAAATGTAATAAAAAAGTAATAATAAATGAATCAGAAAAGTAATAAAATTTGGCAATAAATGAATATAAAAAAATTAAAATTTAAAAAAGTTACTTCCTACAAATTTTCAAAGTATTCTTTTACTCTCAACCTCATTTCCTTTACGGCATTTTTAGACATTCAGTCAATGAAAACTTTTTAACAATCTATTCGCTAGTTATTACAGACCAATTTTGCAATATAATTACAACAAATATGTATTTTCATGATTTTTGTGAAGGATTACGGCTCACTTACCTATAACCGATCCGAAACTAAATGTACTACTATTTGGATATAGTGGGTTATTAAACGGTGGTACGTAGTTTGTGCTCTCCACTTCCTCATATTTTTCCATCTTAGGAATCATCACATCGCTTTTAACACTCTGAGGAACTTCTACCATTTCTTCGTCTACTACTTCCCGTTCTTGTTCCTGCTCTTCCTCCTCGTCCTCAGTTTTCATCTCCTCTTCATCGTCTGGCGAATAAAGCATATCCGGTTTAATCTCAACTTCATCATCATTATCGGGTTGTTGAAGTTGTTGTTCTTCTTTTTTGCTCTTTTCCTCTTCTAGTTTTTCATTGACCAATATGTCTTCAACCTTTGTTACGTCGGACATATCAGGAATTGACGAATCTTCTGTCGTGTCTACTTCGTCTTTGATGTCGAACGTCTGCTCTGTTTTTGGAGACGTTGTTTGTGTAGGGGGTGGTGGAGATGGTGGTGGTGGTGGCTGAACCGACGTTTCGTCTACTTCTTCATCATTTGGCGGTAACGGCGCTTCAACGATCACTGATGGTTCTGTTGAATGAAATGAAGAAGAATGAATGGGAAAGGTGGAGATTGAAGTTGTATCGCCACTGCCCGGGATCGGAAATGTTGGGCTGGCCAGAGGCACAGTGGTCTTTGATGGTAGCGACAGGTCGCAATTCAGTAACGCTTCTACATTTAAAGCTGAAAACGCGAAAATAAAAATTCAAATAGATATAAAACGGTAAACTTGTAGCAAAAAAATTGGATTGCAAACTACCATTTATTAAATGGTATCAGTAGATAGGCTTCATGAAGTTTTGACGATTTTTTTTAAGAAAAATCTTTGAATAACTATGAGTGGTAAATGCTTATAAAAAATTACAATTTTATAAATTTTATACAAATAAAAAAAAGAAATAAGTACAATTTAAAAATAGGTGGTATTTAAAAACGAACAACTTACTAGTTTTTCGTGGATCTTCGTCGACTGATAACCCGAAAGCTTTCTTTAAACGTAGACTGACGCTTTCTCTAGTTTTCTCTAATTCTGTTGGTTCTGAGTTAAACGCTGATAATGCTGTAAAAAAACCCAAATATTCGCGAATAAAATAAATTTCAAAACACATATATTCTAATCTTTAGATTTATCTATTGAGGTGTATTGTAGCAGGCAAGCAAAAGTTAAAAATAATTCTGTTTTTATTATTACTTTTTAAATTTCATATAACATACAGCAGTTAAATTACATCTTCCGCAGATAAATCCTGTACAGGCTAATAATTCATCGTCATCGTCATTGCCACCATCATTATAATTATCGAATCGTTAGTCCGAATACCAGTTACAGAATATCTATTTAGATCAGCAGTACAAACTTGGTACCTCCATTGAAATTATTTATTTGAAATAGCAAGCTAACGACTACTAGAGCGTTTTTAATATTAAATTTAGTAATGTAGTTAATTTAAAATGGTTTTTAAACATTTTATTACTAACACTTTATAACAAACGAATTTTAGCAAATATAAAAAATAATTTAATTTAAATAATTAAAATATAAATTCAATACTAATTAATATAATATATATGTATATTTATTTTCCTGCCTTAGTATTAAATTGGAGACATATAGAAAATGGTAGAGAACCTTCACAGGGTGAGTGACGACGCCAAACCGTCTCACCACTCTGTCTTGGTCGCTTTAATTCTTCAATCTGACCTTTTCTGATTGTATTATTGATACCTCTATTTAAACGACCGCAAATTAATCAGCTACCTTAGTAGTTAGTGTTAGCTCGCAAATTTCAAACAAGTAATTTAGATGTACCAACTTTCTACTATCGTTTCCTTTCCTATCCTGAGCTATTTTTTGCATTTCCTCAAAACTAGAGCATCCCACGTCCCTAACTATTTGGGAAAATAATCTAATCTAGATCTTCTCTTGCCCTTATTTACTCCTATTTCTGCTTCTATCTCTTACTAGCCCTTCATGTCTCAGATGGTGTTCCACTAACCTATGTCTTCCATAGCGTCCAAGGAAAACAACTCGCATTTACAAACCATCGCGAAGAACATTTTTTAAACGTAGAACACACTTTACGACAAACTTTAACATGAGAAATTAAAATTTTATTCTACTGCCAACTTTGTCAAGTATAGATCCCTTAATTATTACGGCAAAGATGTTACATACGTTTTTGGGGTAGTTCGTTTAGATGTAGCTCCTCGTCGGAAGACATAAATGATGTTGCGCTGCTCGTGCTGTCGGAACGTTGCCGCATCGACGGTATAGACGTATAAGCTGTTGACCCCGTGTTACCATCTTCCTCTTTACTCTTTGCGTTGTCTTTTTCTTCTTCTGCTTTTTCGTTAACTGTCAGCTTCTTACGTTGTCGATACTCCGTTATAGACAGCTGTAATTTAATAAATAGAACCCAAATATACGCACTTGTTTATATTTTGAATGAGAAATGTAAAAGATACCAATTTATTTTGTATTTTTTTTTTTTTCAAAAGCGTGCCTTATAAAAACGAAATAGTTTGTTACCTTTCTTTTCGTAGGTAAAATCGGCTCAGGTTTTTTATCTTGGAATCCGAATATGCTGAGCGTTTTCTCAACTGTTCCGACCAAATGATCGCTATTGTTGAATATATGTCGCGATAGGCGAGGGTCCATCGAACAAAGTCTCGCATTGTTTGAAGTTGTAACGGTGGATACTTAAAAACAGAAGAGTAATTACAACAATGATTTCTTTTACTTTTTTAATACTATCAAATTTTAAATATTATGATGAAATCATATAGTATTTTAAAATATGTATTAGAATAATTACATTGTTTATTTCTAACTAATTTAACATGGAAGAGACGTTTCAGATCATTCTAGTAAAAATGCATTTTTAGTACATTTTGTGTAATTATAATTAAATGTATCAACGAGTTAAATTTTTGGGAAAAGAAAACTTTGCATATTTATTATCAAAAATTTTATTCAAAACTCAAAAATGTAGTGTATTAACAGCAATGGATACCTTTTAACGGTGAAGTAGAACCATCCTGAGATTCAGGTAATCGTACACAATTTCCAAATTCTTCTTGCATCTCGGCAGCTCGTTTCTTAAGAACGGCATCTGATTCAAGAACTGTAGGAGGACTGTCTTCATCTGTCCCGCTTAATACTATTTCAACGCGACCTTCTTGATCCGCCATTTGACTATCGCTACTCTGTAAATGGAACTGTATATATACAAAACATGCATTTTTATATTATAAATGTCGTAATCGAGGTATATACTTCATACGAAAATATTTTTTTCAAACAATTTTTAACACAAAGTGATTAAACAAATTGTTCACAAAAGTGAATTTCGACCACTCGAAGCAATGGTAAAGATGTGAAATCTCTATACGAAATATTAAACTCATGATATCTAGAATCAGTAAACATATTTTTATGCTACGAAGCGTGTACTACTTACCCCTAGCGACACAGGTGCACTTGTGCTTGTTGGCGTTGTTGGCGGAGACGCGTCGTTCGATAGAGATTCTCGTGGCAACTTTCGTTTTTTTGGCGGCGCCACTGCTTCCGAAAGAGGTGGCGATTCTGAAAATAATTTAACATAAAATGTTGTCAATATCAACTTGCTGCAGCTAAATAAATTTCATATAAAATCTACCATATTTAGTTGCTTTAATTTAATAAATTTACTTGAAAAGAAACATGAAAAATCATCAAAAGTGGGATTCACAACTTTTGATACCTTTATACAAAAACTGTGTTATTATTTATTTTTGTTTTATGAATAATTTTTAAACATTTCGACTTAAATTTTCAAGTACATGTATTTCGTGTTTCAATGTTCAATAGTTTTAATCGATACGCCAAAATTTCAAGTAAAGTACAAATTGTAAATTTTAAGACATCACTTTTGTAACTTTATTACTATATAACACTCGAATCCCCTAATGCAATTAATAAGGTAAGTTTGAATTAGATAAAATTTGAGTTAAGAAAATTTTCTGCTTTACCGTCAACCTTTTTAATATTCATTTACATTTTTTTTAATATTCATTATCTGTATATCTGTTAGCGCTAACCCTTAACCAAATCGAAAAACATTAATTAAAATCCAAATTAAAAAGGCAATCAATTATATAAAATCCTTACTTAAAATTAACATAAAACAATATATATACGTCAACGAAACTAGGAAATATTTGAATTAGAAAAGACATCGACTTATAAAAGTTCGAGTTATAGTAACTCCACTAGATTACAAATTCAACTGTTTCCAATTTAAAAGAAATAAACATATAAAAGTACATATCTATAATTGCAAAAATACTTACCACCTCCCATTGGACTTTCACTGATAGCTTGTCGAAGCCATCGTTTCTTCGCATTGCCGTGAGGTTGTGAGTTATCGCAGTAAGATGCTGCTTGCGAGAACGCCACTAGACCCTTCGTCGAACCGTAGAATGAAGCTGCATTTTCATAAAAACCGCAATCGGGCGGAGTTGTAATGTGCGGTGTTAATGAAGATGGAGATATTGAACTCGCCGACTGGATACATTCCGGACTCTTATTCAGCCACTCGTTCATCAACCCCTTCTCAAAAGAAAAGAGAAAAATAACTTACGATTGGTAATAAATAGAAACTACGGTATGTTCTATTTACTTGTCATTTGAATCAGCACAAATTTGTTAATCAATGTCAACAATTAATAAAAACAGTATTTTTTACAAAATACATTTACATTTTATAATATTTCTTTTTGAAAAGTAGTTAATAATAAAAAACAAATTAAGTTATAATATTTGTGTAAGTTCTTCCTTTTTTATAAAATAAATGAATAGGTTAAATATACCTTCTTTGTTTTTGGGAATTTGAAACCAGGTTCCAGGGGTTCAACGGCGGCCGCTACCAGAAGACACGCTGAAGATAATGGAGTTTCGGGAGACGAATGGACTGAATTTGAACTACTGTCTCCATCCCTTATTGGTGACTAGAATCATCATTTATATATATTATTATATAATTTGGTTTTATTGTAAAAATAAGTTTTTTGTTGCGCATGAAGTACTTTGAATTGAAATTTTGTAGCATTTTTATAAGACAGCATGTAGACTAATTATTCATCGACATACGGCACGTACTCTCTTCCTTTGCTGCCTCATATTACAAATGGCAAATAATCAGGAACGTATGTCACAAGCATATTGTGTTGGTCATGACTTACACTCACTCTACTGACTGTCTGCAATGAAAATTATGTATTGTACATAACTCACAATTCTCGATTTTATGACGCATTTGTAAACTTCAATCAATATCGATCGGATTACTTCGTGCACCGTATGTTGATGATGCACACGCAATCTTATATATTAATAACATAATAGTTATTAGTGTGCTACTAGTGTGCTTTATTATGCTGCCATCTACTAGTATAACATGTACCGCGTAGAATGGTATTAGTAGACCCACAGCGGTCATTTTAGCAGCATCTCCAAGCAGACTAGAATAATTCTACAATAATTACCACTAACTACACACCAACTATACAGATTCATGTTAATCTGAGATCGTATTTATCTGTACCGTATCATTATAAATTGTACGACAGTAAAAAAATTAAGTAAACTACAATAGTAATTAAAAAAAAATAAGCTGTTAATCTGTTGAAGAATTTCAAGAAAAAAACCCCACTGTGCGATTCGTACAGCCATATTTACTAGTAGAAAATAATAACAGATATGATCTCACGTGTGAATCTTTTTATAGCTATGTTACAGTTTAAACTACACATTATTATTTACGAATTGTTGCATCAAATTAAAAAAAAAATACTGGTAAATTACTAATTATAAAATGTAATTCGATAATTTTTTTATATTAAATTTATCAAATTATAAAGGAATATTCTTTAACTGTGAATGAGTTTTTTTTTAATGAAAACGAATGTGAATTTTAATAATTAATTAATAATCTCACCTTTGGTTCATTTCTGTGAGAGGTGTCGCCATTTGCGAGGGCTAGAAGCAAACCTGCCGCCTTATCCGGAGAATTTAAACCTACAATAGATGAAAGGTATATGTAATCATATTAAAAGACAATACTGAAATTTTGATCTCACTTTCTTTTATGTTAGCCTGGTTGGAATGGCTATTGTTGTTATCAGAATTGGGCGAAAGCAACATTTGCGTCGTCTCATCGCTTGATGTTACGTACGACGAATCGGCGGAATTTACACGATTACTACGTCGTTGTTGCGAATGAGATTGCGAGTTGGTGCTAGTAGTTCGAGCGCGACCTTTGCGTCTCCGCCGTTTCATCTTCTGCTGTTGATGAAGATGTTCATTGATATTGGAGGCTGTTGATTTGTCGTCTTCGCGCGCTAATGACGGTACAGGATCCGATTCACGCTTATGATGTGCAGCTGCCTGTTTTGCCTGGTGTTCTTGTTTCCGTTGTTGTTGTTTCTCCATTCGTTCAAAAGCTTTCATTATCGCCTCAAGTTTTCGCTCCTCGCGGCTTAGTTTTTTCTTATCCTCTTTAGTTTGTTGTTCTTTCGATGGCGTCTTCTCTTCTGAAGACTCTGATTTGTTTTGGTGTTGTTGTTGATTTTGATATGCGGAAGACCTTCTTGTCGTGACCGACGAAGAATAATTGTTATGTGTTTCTTTATCGTCTTCCTCTTCATCTGTGTCTTCCTGTTTGATTTCAACCTTTTCTTTTTCGTTAAGATAAGGTTCGTTTTCAGACGATGGTTCTTGTTTAACATCTTCCGTTTTAACTTTTACAATGTCGTCCGAGACTAAGGCAGATTTTTTTTCTTCTTTCGTTAGTTTAGAGTCTTCTTCAACTTTCACGTGGAGTGGAGGTGATGGTAATGGCACCTTTTCTTCTTTAACTTTTGCGCTGGGTACGATAACAGGGGGTGCGGAAAAAGAGTGGTCATGTTCAGAAGTGCTCGATACAGTTCGTCTTCCGCGTCTTTTTCGATGATTTGTACTGAAATTTAAAAGTATGTGTATTACCTTGAATATACCCCTTTGTTATTAATACCATAAGAATATAACAAAAAATAAAAACGATCTATCGGCACTGTATACGTCTATTGCTTGAATCGTATCTTACCTTTCGTTGGCATTTTCACCATTTCTCCTTACGGTTGTTCCAGAGGTAGCGGTAGTGGATGAAGGAGCACCGCTCTTGTTGACCGTGCATTCGTCAGGTTTGCCGCATGCACAAGCAATGTACGTTGTTCCAACAACAGCAAGGTCATGGGACTCATGTTTAATAGTCAGTTCCATATTCTTTTCCACGTTCGCAATCGTGACAATGTATAAGTGTAGAACGCCTTTCTCTATACAGTGTCGAAGCTCCGAGTTTGGTTTACAAGAACGCCTGATGAAACGAGCATCATTACCGTACGTACGCGTGTCTACACATACCTACAAACATAAATAATTCGTCATTATAAAATATGCCGCAAAAATATTTCAGATAATTATATAAAAAATTAATAAAGAAAAAGTTACGAATGTAGATAATTCATTGCAAATGTACGGATAAATAGAAAATTTGCAACCTTTTATTTACATAAAGCAGTTTATAGAAAATATGATTCAAATAAGTTTAATGCTATATTTTAATTTTTAGAATGAGTTAGTTGTTCGTTCGTAAAAAATCCATTTATGAATCGAGAAGCGTTATACTAAATTAGATAAAACTTTTTTACTTATTTGATATTATTAACGTACTAGCTTTTACACACGATTTCGTTTAAATGAAATTTAAATTGTTAAAGCAAAATATAAAGTCAATTAAAAAAAAAAAAATTAACCGAAACCATTATTAGCAATCTCCTTTTCATGTCTGTAAAGTTCTACTGAAATCGGTTTAGTAGTTTTGAAGAGGCACAAATTTTTTGAAGATTATTTGTCTTAATAGTTAACAAAAAAATAATACACTTTTTTTCTCTATATTGCAAACAGACAATTCAATTTAATTTGTACGTATCGATCAGAAAAAAATTAAATGATTTTCAAATTGCTGGTTTTTCCAACAGTACTACTGCGATGCTAGATTTAATAGCAACGAATGAACAAACTAATCTAATTACTTCGGTGTTGTCCTTGTGCAGCCGATAGAAGAATAGGAACGGTCCGGGTCTTTGAGAGTGTTGTCGAGTATTTAAGGCGCCGCTGCCATGGTGGGGTGCAGAGCTTCGGTGTTGCGTAGACAACATGTATTTGCCACGCAGTTCAACTATGGGAGTGTTTGGGCCCATTGTGGCTGTACTCACGAGCAATTTAAGTCCGGTTAAAGGCTGCGTCTGTACGCGACACTTGTGCACCGAACAATCGAACTGGGCCGTAAGATCCGAGTGAGCACCATTAATGCGAATATTAGAAACGCGAGCTCGCAATTCGGGCGAATAGTGATTCGTTACCGCTTCTTCGTAGTTTTCGATCCATTGGCGAAGTTGCGGCAACTGCGAGGACGGCCAAGTATCAGCGGCGACGGCAATCGCCCCAGCGGTACTCTTTTCATCTTCGCTGTTGTGATGGTGTTGCTGTTGCTGATTATGGTGTTGGCGTGTCTGAGCTTTCGCCTAAAAATAATGATGTTAATATTTTTATCGTGAATTACAAAATTAGTGGAGCTTCACATACAACTTTTAATCATTTAACTTTAATAACACAATAATTTTTTAAAAGCAAGAAGTTTGCAGTTGCTCACCAATGAAAACATCAATAAAAATAAAAAGTACATTTAGTTAAAAAACATGCGACAATTTTAGAGAATGATAATGTTTAAATGTTCTACATATATTTTTTACAAAAAAAAAATAATAAAAGTTACAATAAGATTCTTACTTTCTAGTTTCAAACTTTTATTTAGATTTTATGTGTAATAAATGCTTATTTGGAACTTCTAAGCGTCTGATTCATTTCAAGTTTCTGTACACAGCCTATTATTTAATAAAGAATTCTCGAATCTGAATATAGCTTTTTTAACAGTTAGTTAATTTATAACATCAATAAAAGAGTAAATTATCACCTTTCTTTTGGTCATTTTCCTTTCTTTTTTAATTGGCCTTCTAGCTGGACGCTCTCGCCTCTGATGAATATTATTTTTGTGTAGATCACGTTTTCTATTATTAAAATTTCTACCTTTGTTCACGACGCTGTTACCTGTAATACAAATTTATTTTCAAAGATGAGTAATTTTATGTGTAACCAATGATGTTCGTTACCATGCGTGGAGGAAGGTTCTGCATCACTCGAGTCACTGTCACTAACAGCTTCCTTGAGTTTCTGTTGCAACCGTAAGTCCTTTTGGAAACGTGGATCGCCTCGATCTTTAAGGTACTGTTGCTGCAACAGTTGCGCCTTTGCTCGGTCAACCACCTTGGTTGAATCACAAATTTCGCACAAGAAATCCTCAGGCACCTTCTTTGTTTTAACAACACAGCGCACATGCTGCCATACTTTACAACGGTCACATTCGATCATGTAACCGTCATCGTGATCGTAGCCGCTATAAAAAGGTTATAGTTGTAAAAATTATATTAGTTTAATCCGCAAATTTGAAACTTACCATACACACCGGTTAACGTAATCACCATAATGATCTACATCGTTACTGGTAACAGCCTCGGCTTCAGGAGCTGTGTCTGTCTCTTCACCTTCTGTTTCGGGTCTTCTTTCTGAGCCGCAGCTTATATCTGACGCGACATCGTCGTCCTGCAACGGGCCTGAGCTGCTCATACTTGGAACCAGCGTGCTACTGGATGTACTCATCACGCTGGTAGAATTTGACGAAGCCAGGGACGAACGGCCTCCTAGCATAATAAAATTCTTTTTTAATATAAAATGTAGACATGAAAAATTGTACTTTCCAAATTTTAATTTAACAGCACTCTCAGTGGCTCATTTTCCTACTAAATAATAGTCACTTTATTATTGAAGAATTTTATGCAACGTCCCATAAAAAGTTACGATAGATACCTAATACATTTAGAAACATACTTGTGCCACTACCAGGAGAATATAAGGATCCATTTGGAGCACCAGTAATTTGTAACGGTGACGTAGTGTTACAGGAAGTTGGACGAGCTACTGGTTCAAGAGGCAAGGTGGCGTTGTAGTTGTGATCCAAAAGAACGGCTTGGCAGATGAGCGACAACGTATCCAAGCCACTCTGTGGTTTTTGATCCATAATACGGGGTGATATGCGAGAGATAGTTTCCGGCGCTCTAAACCAAATTTTTGTTACATAGCTATGAACATTCAAACACAAGCATTATATGAAATCAAAACTGCAAAACAATTGTTCCTTTTTATACTACATATTTTAAGTGAATTTAAAGTTAGAACAAAAATAAAAAGTTAGCTAATATAATTTAATGCATCCATTACGTGTCCCAAATAGATGATAAAAACTATATTCGTTTATACTATTTATGTAAATTATGCGATATGATGCGAGATTTATGAACTAAGCATAATTGATAAAATAAATCTTGTTTATACAACGGTTACACTTAATCTGTTGAAACATAATGATTGTACATGTTGACCTTTTGACAGAAACTTTTGTGTTTTACATAACTTTATAATGCACAAAATATAAAAAAGTGAAACCACTTCCTATAGTGAAAATATATAAAATAAATAATAATTGCTGGTTTTTCCAACAGTACTACTGCGATGCTAGATTTAATAGCAACGAATGAACAAACTAATCTAATTACTTCGGTGTTGTCCTTGTGCAGCCGATAAAAGAATAGGAACGGTCCGGGTCTTTGAGAGTGTTGTCGAGTATTTAAGGCGCCGCTGCCATGGTGGGGTGCAGAGCTTCGGTGTTGCGTAGACAACATGTATTTGCCACGCAGTTCAACTATGGGAGTGTTTGGGCCCATTGTGGCTGTACTCACGAGCAATTTAAGTCCGGTTAAAGGCTGCGTCTGTACGCGACACTTGTGCACCGAACAATCGAACTGGGCCGTAAGATCCGAGTGAGCACCATTAATGCGAATATTAGAAACGCGAGCTCGCAATTCGGGCGAATAGTGATTCGTTACCGCTTCTTCGTAGTTTTCGATCCATTGGCGAAGTTGCGGCAACTGCGAGGACGGCCAAGTATCAGCGGCGACGGCAATCGCCCCAGCGGTACTCTTTTCATCTTCGCTGTTGTGATGGTGTTGCTGTTGCTGATTATGGTGTTGGCGTGTCTGAGCTTTCGCCTAAAAATAATGATGTTAATATTTTTATCGTGAATTACAAAATTAGTGGAGCTTCACATACAACTTTTAATCATTTAACTTTAATAACACAATAATTTTTTAAAAGCAAGAAGTTTGCAGTTGCTCACCAATGAAAACATCAATAAAAATAAAAAGTACATTTAGTTAAAAAACATGCGACAATTTTAGAGAATGATAATGTTTAAATGTTCTACATATATTTTTTACAAAAAAAAAATAATAAAAGTTACAATAAGATTCTTACTTTCTAGTTTCAAACTTTTATTTAGATTTTATGTGTAATAAATGCTTATTTGGAACTTCTAAGCGTCTGATTCATTTCAAGTTTCTGTACACAGCCTATTATTTAATAAAGAATTCTCGAATCTGAATATAGCTTTTTTAACAGTTAGTTAATTTATAACATCAATAAAAGAGTAAATTATCACCTTTCTTTTGGTCATTTTCCTTTCTTTTTTAATTGGCCTTCTAGCTGGACGCTCTCGCCTCTGATGAATATTATTTTTGTGTAGATCACGTTTTCTATTATTAAAATTTCTACCTTTGTTCACGACGCTGTTACCTGTAATACAAATTTATTTTCAAAGATGAGTAATTTTATGTGTAACCAATGATGTTCGTTACCATGCGTGGAGGAAGGTTCTGCATCACTCGAGTCACTGTCACTAACAGCTTCCTTGAGTTTCTGTTGCAACCGTAAGTCCTTTTGGAAACGTGGATCGCCTCGATCTTTAAGGTACTGTTGCTGCAACAGTTGCGCCTTTGCTCGGTCAACCACCTTGGTTGAATCACAAATTTCGCACAAGAAATCCTCAGGCACCTTCTTTGTTTTAACAACACAGCGCACATGCTGCCATACTTTACAACGGTCACATTCGATCATGTAACCGTCATCGTGATCGTAGCCGCTATAAAAAGGTTATAGTTGTAAAAATTATATTAGTTTAATCCGCAAATTTGAAACTTACCATACACACCGGTTAACGTAATCACCATAATGATCTACATCGTTACTGGTAACAGCCTCGGCTTCAGGAGCTGTGTCTGTCTCTTCACCTTCTGTTTCGGGTCTTCTTTCTGAGCCGCAGCTTATATCTGACGCGACATCGTCGTCCTGCAACGGGCCTGAGCTGCTCATACTTGGAACCAGCGTGCTACTGGATGTACTCATCACGCTGGTAGAATTTGACGAAGCCAGGGACGAACGGCCTCCTAGCATAATAAAATTCTTTTTTAATATAAAATGTAGACATGAAAAATTGTACTTTCCAAATTTTAATTTAACAGCACTCTCAGTGGCTCATTTTCCTACTAAATAATAGTCACTTTATTATTGAAGAATTTTATGCAACGTCCCATAAAAAGTTACGATAGATACCTAATACATTTAGAAACATACTTGTGCCACTACCAGGAGAATATAAGGATCCATTTGGAGCACCAGTAATTTGTAACGGTGACGTAGTGTTACAGGAAGTTGGACGAGCTACTGGTTCAAGAGGCAAGGTGGCGTTGTAGTTGTGATCCAAAAGAACGGCTTGGCAGATGAGCGACAACGTATCCAAGCCACTCTGTGGTTTTTGATCCATAATACGGGGTGATATGCGAGAGATAGTTTCCGGCGCTCTAAACCAAATTTTTGTTACATAGCTATGAACATTCAAACACAAGCATTATATGAAATCAAAACTGCAAAACAATTGTTCCTTTTTATACTACATATTTTAAGTGAATTTAAAGTTAGAACAAAAATAAAAAGTTAGCTAATATAATTTAATGCATCCATTACGTGTCCCAAATAGATGANAAACACTGATAATTTTAGAGGTTTCTAATGTGATGTCGTAAATAAACACATTTTTTGCGCTTACATTGCAAACGCTGGCTGAACCCTACGAGATAGATCAAAATAATGTACTACAATATTGTACATCTTAAAAGGGTCTACAAAAAAGTCCGGGATGGTATATGTCTATCTCTTACGGATAACCCACAATAACCATTTTTATCCTTTACTTTTTATGAGAAATAATGACTTATTTTAGAAGCGATTGTAGGCAATACAGCATTAATTCTTATCCAATTAAGTACCTTAAATACAATGTGCATTTAATAAAGATCAATATGGCCCTTTACAACATGTAATTTAAAGGAATATTTTCTAAGATATTACAGATTTAAAATGCAGGGACATAGCGGTTGCGGCGGTACCGGCCGGGAGGCCGGCTTGTATTGTCTAATTCACCCGTGCGAAGCTGGGGCGAGTCACTAGTAAATCATAAAATAATAGATTGCAATAGAAAATGCTTTTCCAAGAAATCTGAAGATTATAAGCCCTATAGATTATTTCTTCCGAAATTAAAATTTTTGGACATTAATTTTCAATTTTTTTTTAGATTTTTGGATCATAGAAAAAACTTATTTTCGATTGATTTTTAATCTTAAGGCAATTTCCAATTAAGTTAATCTTTCTAGATTTCCAACATAACAATATATGTAAAAAAGTACCTACTTTTTCTTCTACTCTTTATCATGTTAAAAAATAAACTTTAGTACATCTACAAAATTATCGTTAATAGAAAATACATAGTTTAATGACAACAAAATAGATCCATACAGCTGGATTATCAGATAATATTACAAAACATAAACAATAATCAGTTACTTAAATAAAAAATTACATCACAGACTATGTCATAAATCATATTCTTGACTCTTTAATCACTTGCTCATATAATTATATAGGTTTGGTGCAAGCGTCTTCTTTCACTTCCCAACATTGCTCCCAATAATATTTCAAACGGTTGTCATGATTGCTGCAAAATTCTCGAAAATCTTTTAACATTTTTACCTGAAAGTTGTAATCGACTGCTTGATTTGTACGCCACCGACGACTTACCATATGATTCCAAGACCACAAAAAACCGATCTGTCGATACAAAATTAAACGTTTATTTTATAAAAAAAAACTTTTTTGTTTTCTTAGTAGGTATTCAAAAGCTATTAATAATAACAAAATGGTCAAAAGAAAAGTTAAGAACAGTTCATATGAAATAATAATAACGCTGTATTTCCTTGATCTTCAAAAATCTAATCTAAATAAACATACAAACTAAGACTCTCAGGAAAAAGGAAAATACTCTTGGTGTGCTACAAGCGTCAGCTGCATTGTTAATTAACATTGTATTAAAAAAATATTTTTTTTTAGTTTTTTGCTTGTATCTCAGCTTCTGCTAACCGTAGAAAAATTTTGCAAGAAGCAAAATTGTTTGTTACGAGATGCTGTATAATGTATTGTTCAGAACGTTGCGATGTCAAGACGTAGTTTGGCTCACTGACGGTAAACTTCCACAAAGGTAAGGTGTTACGATATAGCAAATACCTCAATCATTCAAGCAATTATGTTGAAAAATAAGACACTACTCACATTTTAGTAATAAAATAATTTTGTTATGTGAACCTGTCTCATTGTTCTAGCTCATCGGATATTGATAAAAAAATTACCCTTGAATTAAAAAAAAACATTTTTTTTGTACCTACTTTTTTGGTAGTATCATAATCATCCTTATTCTTTCCACTAACGTGTCGCGTAATGTAAGCCTCATGCGGGCTGGGTGCCATGTCTATGTGAGATGGATACCTCGAACCTGTTCTCCTCTGGCTAATTGACGTGAGTCGATTTCGTAATCGAGGAATAGGACTGGGTAACAATATGAATACGGTACCGGTGCAGTGGATATATTGATGTTCTTGGCACATAGGAGTACTCTGACCAGATTGTCGAGGTTGCACCATACAAGGTAGGAAACCGAATCTCGATAGAATGGCCTCTTGAAACAGGAACATTCGATCTATCCACGTATCTTCTCTAAATTCTATGTTAAATAAAAGAGTTTTACTAATGACATCTTTAACTTATTGTACACATAGTATTTAAAAAATAATTTTAAAATTGAATAATGAAGGTTTATTTAATTAAAATCAGAAAAAATAAACATATATATAAAATGTTGTTCATTTATACAATATATATATATTATAATATTAATATACAGGGTGCCGATCTTTTCTATTGTAGTCCATAGCTACTAAGCTATATAAAAATTTATTTCGGTTTATAACATGTATTTTAGGGAAATATTCTATTTTATTCAAGGTGCTCAGTTCATTCACGATACCAAAGTTTCTTTTATAAGTAGAACACCATATATATGCTACAATACCTAAGAGTGATATGCTTCATTTGTGGATTGTTTTACAAATTTCAAAAATTGTAACAGTTGAAAGTAGATATCACTGTATTTAAAGCANATGTGTAAAACGCAAAATACTTCCTTATATGTTTTGGTAATGTAAATAAGCGAATAACAGAAATTTTATATTATAACACTCATTACTTACACAGTGCAATTTTTACAAGTTCTCTCCATTGCGTGGTAAAAGACCACAAGTTGTTACAATAATATTAATAATAGCCAACAACCATTACATCAAATTAGTACTTACTCTGGAGGAGCAGAATTTGAATACGTGTAATTGCCATCGTAGCGTAAACCGGCATCCCTGGATCTCGAACCCATGACGCTTCCGGGACCAGAAAGGTTACCACTTGCGCAAGAATAAGAACCACCTATCGTATTGTTCTGATTTAAGGTTTCGATAATTTGCGCCGTAAGGGCCTGCGTGTATACCATTTGTTGGTTGCTTTGCGCAGACGCCGTAGCCGTTACAGACATTTTTGTGTAGTCACTCGAGGAGTTGTATGCTAGAGTCGATTTTAGGTTGGCTTTTGCTTTGTGACCACCAAATCCTCCTCCGATAGGAGGGCTACGCAATTTTTGCCCTTGAATAGCATGTTTGCCAATATAATTAGGTTTGTTAAGTTGAGTCCCTGCAATATTTATACTTCCCATTCCTTTAGGAGATCGTTGTGGTGGTATCGTTCTGAGACCCGAGCTGGTTCTTTGTACTTGTTGGCTCGGGATACCGCTTCCGCAAATGGTCCCTCCTTTATATTGAGGAGGTATTGTTTTTAGGCCAACGTTCTGTTTTAAAGCATTGTTATTGTTATTGTTAAGAGGTGGTAATGTTTTAATGTGACCCTTTTGAGCCGGGTACATCATTTTAGGAGGTTTAATACCACCTAAAGGAGGTGGAGGAGGCAGCGTTTTACTAGGTATGCTACCGATGTTCCCGCTGGTTTTCATTAGAGTAGGCATCGATGGTTTGCCTAGCAATTTCGTTGTACCATTTGCGTTCGTAACAACTTTTTGTTGCGGATAATATTTGACAGGAGCGGCCGTTTTATTAACTACGAAGTTAGGGTTATTGGTGTTAAGAGTAGTATTTATTGATCCTGTTGATACGCCACTTGATGTTGGCACGACAACGTTACCAAGAATTTTCAGTTTACTACTATTTTGCTGTGGAACGATGGATTTTGATATGGTACTCGATTTTAGTAATGCAGGTGCATTAAGGTTTTGAAGGACCTATTGGAATGAAACGAGAGAAAATTAATAGCTGTTCAATATTAACAATAAATAAAAATAGTACTTACATTATTGGGAGGAAAACTAGTTGCGGTAAGTAGCTTTTGAGCCTGTGGAACTCCACCACCACTATTACTCGTGCTACCGAATCCGGTGAGCGGTGCGGGATTTGCGACGGCCGTTTCAGATAAACTTCCGGAATTTTTAACAAACACATTGTGAATAGCCGGCTTTTCGATAATTGTTGAAGCACTAGCAGCACTCGCATGTGTTAGTGCTGTAATTGGGATAGTAGTTACCACTGATCCATTATTTACCGTTGCGGCTACAGTGACTTCATTGCAACCACTTGTGGTTGCACTTTCGGTTTTTTTCGGTACCACCTCGGTAACAGAAGTCGTCGATGATTGTACTACTGTCATCGGCACCGTTTCATTTGTCTGAGGTCGTACCAGTGTGTACGGGGGATTCGGCACGACGGTGATTTGTTTTCCAAGACCATTGCTTACTGTTAAGGGTGAAGAACTAACCAATGTGAAGTGATGATTCGTCGGGAACGGACTATTTAATGATTTCACGATAGCTACAGGACCTTGAGTATTCATCACTGTTATAAGGGAATTGTTTGGTGGTACGGTTGTAGCGGCGGTAACAGTTTTCTGTAATATCGACGACAACGTATTACCGGCAGTTGCCGTTGTTGCTGTGGTCGTTGTCGTAGGAGACGACGACAACAGAGGTTTAGTTGCATTTCTGTTGGACGAAGGATCAGAAGAGGTGACATCTGAGGGTTCCTTTTCATCAGGATAAGTAGAGACAATACTGCTTTTGCTGTTTTCTGATTTTTCAGAACTCGCTTGGTTTGCGAGCGTCGAGCTCGATTCTGTTGAAAAATAATATATGAATTATCTATTAAGAAAAAAATTATACAAAACCAAATTCTCATTAATACAGATACATAAAAAAAAACTGAAGTAAATACAGCACTGAAGTTAAAAATTCAACATAACGTTTACAAAATCTGAAACGCGTTTCAACACCCAAAAGGCCATCCTCAGTTATCAGACCGACTGACACTAACTGAAGACAACATCTTGGGTGTTGAATCGCGTTTTAGTTTTTTTAAATGTTTTTATGTACAACTTTGGGTTTCATTGATTTATTTATAAATAACATCATGAAAAAAAGACTGCAACAAAAATATCTTTATAAAACAATAATAATATTCTACATTTTTGTATGAATATTTCATTTTATTATTTACCATAAATGTTTTTAATTTAAATTATCGGTAAATTGTAACATACTAATGAAATCTCAAAACGCAACAAGTTGAATAAAAACTTGCATTAACAAATCATCTTTATGACATTGTATTCTGAAAAAATTAAAACATTGCAATTTCTTTGCATTAATATATGCACAATGTATATATTAGTTAAATTAATACATTACATAACACAACTTACCCAAACATACACTCATGTTTTTGGAGTTTTACATTCTGTGCCCATATCGATCAACAAAACTTGTAAAACTTCCTGAAATTGCAGCATTAAGAAAATAATAAGAATTATCTGAAATAAAATTGAAAGCAATTAATTAGTGTAACATAAAAATTTATGCCTAAGTGTTCGATTATGAAATGCATTACACACTGCAAATATTTTGTTGCTATTTAAACCTAATAACTATAAATTTTAGAATCTCTTTATTTACAGTTAAATTTAAATAAACTTTACACGAAAAAGAAACAAATTTTTGTTTTAAAATTTACTTTGAACAAAAAGTGTTTTTATTCACATGCACTAAGTTGCATATTTATAAAATGTGTAAAATAAATTTACGCAAAACAGTGCATGATCCACACCGTTATTAATGAGAGTATTCAAAACAATTAATGTAAATTACAGTGACATTGGAATTAATAATTTACTTGTATTGGGATGAACGGAATTACAAATTTTTTAGTATGCTTAATTAGAAGAAAAAATTGTGGGTATATTAAAAAAAAGGACGTTTTTGATTTATTGACATGTGTAATCCAACAATGATTATGAACGGAAAGTTCTACTTCTTTTCTTTTAATTTGGTGCATTCGAATTATTCGAATTCAATTCCGTCCATCGAATACACAACAAAAATTCGCAGTCGATGCTTCTGCGCGAGCGCCATTTCGAGGTCAGCCTTGCGCATAATTTCATAGCAGAGATGAGGCTCAGGAAAGGTGAGGGAGAAAATTAAGATATTACCGCACTTTTCATTAGTATCATTATATTTTATAACAGTACCAAATTTTGAATGATATTTAAAAAATAAACAATGTAAAATAATTTTAATAACAGCAAATAAAAATCAATCGCCATTTAAAAGTGAATTTTCCTGTGTACGTTAACGACACCTTTATCTCCAATTTGGAAATATAACGAGATCATAAAGATGGTTTAATAATCGGTGTTTTCGAAAATAAAAATGTCACAGAAGTGTTTCCAAAACTGCTACTGCTTTTTACAAGTAAGACATGCTGTAATATGAAAACAGATCGCTGGAAATAAAAAGTGCTTATTCAAAATTACAACGATTCACCAACGTTGAACGTTCTATTAGCAGTTCCAAAAACGTAAACTCGACATACAATTTACGCGAGTTCATATAATTATTATGTATACCTAGTTACTGCAGGCTTTTTAAAATTGTAACAGCAACAAATTGAACAATATGATTGATGAAAATATGCAGGTCAATGTAAATGATACGTTACAATCTAGTAAAAATTAATGTATTATCCCGATCAACTATAAATATTCGAAGAGTAATACTCAAGCAAAACAGGAATGTAAATAATTTATTTTTAGAAAATGTGATATTGTTGCAAGCATGTTCGCGGATCTTTCGGAGTTCATCTGAATAACAAGTATCTGTACTTAAAGATGCACCGTTTTAGTAAAAAAATAATTAAAATCAGTTCAGGTAGAAAAGTGCAGTAGCATATATTTATTTTGATGTTAATGGCGGGCAATAATAAAACATTCACAATTATTAGATACGATATGTTCTAACTCACAAAACAATAATAAANATAGTTTAATGACAACAAAATAGATCCATACAGCTGGATTATCAGATAATATTACAAAACATAAACAATAATCAGTTACTTAAATAAAAAATTACATCACAGACTATGTCATAAATCATATTCTTGACTCTTTAATCACTTGCTCATATAATTATATAGGTTTGGTGCAAGCGTCTTCTTTCACTTCCCAACATTGCTCCCAATAATATTTCAAACGGTTGTCATGATTGCTGCAAAATTCTCGAAAATCTTTTAACATTTTTACCTGAAAGTTGTAATCGACTGCTTGATTTGTACGCCACCGACGACTTACCATATGATTCCAAGACCACAAAAAACCGATCTGTCGATACAAAATTAAACGTTTATTTTATAAAAAAAAACTTTTTTGTTTTCTTAGTAGGTATTCAAAAGCTATTAATAATAACAAAATGGTCAAAAGAAAAGTTAAGAACAGTTCATATGAAATAATAATAACGCTGTATTTCCTTGATCTTCAAAAATCTAATCTAAATAAACATACAAACTAAGACTCTCAGGAAAAAGGAAAATACTCTTGGGGTGCTACAAGCGTCAGCTGCATTGTTAATTAACATTGTATTAAAAAAATATTTTTTTTTAGTTTTTTGCTTGTATCTCAGCTTCTGCTAACCGTAGAAAAATTTTGCAAGAAGCAAAATTGTTTGTTACGAGATGCTGTATAATGTATTGTTCAGAACGTTGCGATGTCAAGACGTAGTTTGGCTCACTGACGGTAAACTTCCACAAAGGTAAGGTGTTACGATATAGCAAATACCTCAATCATTCAAGCAATTATGTTGAAAAATAAGACACTACTCACATTTTAGTAATAAAATAATTTTGTTATGTGAACCTGTCTCATTGTTCTAGCTCATCGGATATTGATAAAAAAATTACCCTTGAATTAAAAAAAAACATTTTTTTTGTACCTACTTTTTTGGTAGTATCATAATCATCCTTATTCTTTCCACTAACGTGTCGCGTAATGTAAGCCTCATGCGGGCTGGGTGCCATGTCTATGTGAGATGGATACCTCGAACCTGTTCTCCTCTGGCTAATTGACGTGAGTCGATTTCGTAATCGAGGAATAGGACTGGGTAACAATATGAATACGGTACCGGTGCAGTGGATATATTGATGTTCTTGGCACATAGGAGTACTCTGACCAGATTGTCGAGGTTGCACCATACAAGGTAGGAAACCGAATCTCGATAGAATGGCCTCTTGAAACAGGAACATTCGATCTATCCACGTATCTTCTCTAAATTCTATGTTAAATAAAAGAGTTTTACTAATGACATCTTTAACTTATTGTACACATAGTATTTAAAAAATAATTTTAAAATTGAATAATGAAGGTTTATTTAATTAAAATCAGAAAAAATAAACATATATATAAAATGTTGTTCATTTATACAATATATATATATTATAATATTAATATACAGGGTGCCGATCTTTTCTATTGTAGTCCATAGCTACTAAGCTATATAAAAATTTATTTCGGTTTATAACATGTATTTTAGGGAAATATTCTATTTTATTCAAGGTGCTCAGTTCATTCACGATACCAAAGTTTCTTTTATAAGTAGAACACCATATATATGCTACAATACCTAAGAGTGATATGCTTCATTTGTGGATTGTTTTACAAATTTCAAAAATTGTAACAGTTGAAAGTAGATATCACTGTATTTAAAGCAAATAAGAGTTTAATATTTAGTCCATTTTTGAAATACCTAATTTTTCAATTTACTGACGACTTTCGCGGCTTATTTGTCTTTCGACCTATTTGATTACCATTTTTATGTGTTGGATATATCTTTTCTAACAAATAGTTGAAGGCAGAAACCGTATAAAACCTTCTAAATTTACTTAATGTCGCCAAAGGGTCCTTTTATTTAAAATAATCAAATAATAGTAAAAATTAATAAGTTCAGTTTACAGAAGTCAAGACTGTGTATTACATAAAAGAAAATGATCTAATCAAAATTATAAATTGCAGTAATGTTACTTTAGCCTTTTAGCCTTATGGAGTTCTGTTAGTTTAAGAGTTTTTACCAAATTACTTTACACTTAAAAAAGTGTTACTTACGATTAGACTATATCATAGAAACGTAACATGCAATGTTTTACTTAGGTACCTTCAAATAGCCTCTTGTGTTTCTGTATTAGACATTTTGTATCTAAAGGTATAAAAATAGGTCCTCTTAAAGGATCAGACTTATTCGAATAAGGCAATGCAAGTGGATCATGTGGGATAGGAATTAGTTGTAAACCGCAAGCTTGAGCCTTCCTGTGCCAACTGAACAACTGAAATAAATAAAAAGCAATTTTCGGCTTGTTATTGTTAACGTTAGTAACATTAGTTACTCATGTAAGAGTGCAACTTTATTTTACATTAATATTAGATTAGAGTTTAGAAAATAGTAATGATTAACCAAATTTTGATAAGATGAAACTGGACTTGACTAACTGGATTATTCTCTACTTTTTAGTCATATGGCACTGTCACAATAAATTTTTTCGATGTTTTTGAATTTTCTCGACATATAGACTTTTTATTTGAAACTGATATCACTCATGACCATATAAACAAGATATTCGAGAAAAACTCTACACGAACTACAACTTTCTTGCAGAAAAATTTCACGAAATTAGTCAAGGTGATGATAAAATCAAGCTCCATCCAGTACAAGCTCCGTGAAGCCTTTCTTATGTTAAACAGAGAAACGTGAAGTATATAGTGAGTTTGGATTTGATCCGTGTATTTTAAAAAAGACTCAATCTTTTGGAATCTGTTCAGCATCGAGCAACAAAACTCACTGGAACTGAGACATAGATACGAAGACATAGAAGTGTAGTTTCTCAATTTTAGACAAGATTGTATTTCATTTAAATTCCTTTGATTATATTACTCAACATCGACATTGTCATCATAGTTTTTGTACTTTCTGTCTATGGTTTATCGAGAGTCATTTTTATACAAATATTCACCTAATTTTCATGAATTCTTTTAAAACAAAAAATATTTTTGGAATCACTTTAAATGCGGTTGCAAAATTTTTAAGATGTTGTACTGTTGCAAGTTACCCCTGATTATCATTCTCAATAGACGTGCAATTTTAAAGAAACCCTTCTTAAAAATAAGGTTATTAAGTAACTAATTAAAACAAAAAATCGTTTTGTTATTCTTACATACCAATTCGGCAACGATGGATCCAGAAGCTACTAACCATTCCACAACAATCTCATAAGCTTGATCAGGCCTAAAAATCGTTTGATACCTAGCATGACCCCATTCAACTCTGTCACTTTTATTTGAAAAATCAACATCCAGGTACATACTTTTATACATAGGGCCTATAAAGTAAAGAGCATTATCAAAAACTGTTTTGCTGAGTTGAATGATTAGAACATTACTATATTTAGGATACTCCGGTACTCATTGTATCTAAAAACCATTTTAATTACCGCAAACACCCGCGAGTGTGAAACGAAACGAACAACAGCTATTCACTTAATCATTTTGTTCACGTTAACGACTTCTATACTTACAATTAATCAATATATCATAAACATCTAAAATTATATAATGAATACAAATACACAATTAAAACTACATCTTTTTAGCTAATACGACTAGGCAAATATCAAATATGTAGCGGATTTTCAGCAATGGCGTAACAACCATGTTGAAATGCAGATTTTTAAGATCAATGGACATACGTTAAAGGTTTAGTTTGTTCATGGTATAAGGTGGTCTATTATAATTATTAATTAATAGGTTCACAGTATCTGAGGTTTCCATAATGAAATGTTCACACTATAGAGTGTTACCTGTATTTTATAAACTTACAATCATTATCTAAGTCTCCCTGAAGATAAGTTGCATCAATTGCTTCACACAAGAAATGTGGCACACCGCTTTCTCGGTCTTGTACGACCGTCCTGTTAGGAACATTAATTGTTGTGGAAGACATACTATTGCCCCAGTTTAGAGAAGGTCGCATTTCAACTTCCAGCCACTCATTTTCAAAACCCTGTAAGTCGCCCGATGGCAGAATGTTTTCATCTAAAAATTAAAAGAAAAAAATGATAGGTAATATGTATATTTATACACTCGATAAATTAAAAACCTTTATCAATTTGTGTGAAGTAAAACAGGAAAAAGCCATAAACAAACTGCTTTGTGTATTCTCCAGATGCATGACATATAAGTTGTTCCCTTCTGAGTGATTCCATAATCTAGAAATATTGTGATTATATGTTGATTCAGAGACAATTTCAACAAGTAACAATTTAGCCTAGATCACTCTTGACGACCTTTTTTCCATTTATATAAAGACCCGTTCAACTGTTTCGAAGGCTAGCCCGTACAGATAGACACATTTTTTAAGGGTCGTTAGTGTCATAATAGCATACAAATAACCTTATAAACATAAAAAGGCAATTGTTTCCATATTACCCTCAGACACTTCAATAAGTAGGAAGAAAGGTATGTATAGTATTTGCTTGTAAATTTGTTTTTCTTTAAAAATAAAAATTAGGAAGGTACTCTTTAATATTAATGCTAAAATAATTCCTACTAATATCGAAATGTTTTTCAGTTTGTCTGGTTTTTCTGATTCTACTTTTATATTCTTAAATTTGTTCCAATGGGCCATATTTACTGAACGCCTTTCTTACCAGAGCAACTCTAGAAGTAAATGGGTTATCGGGTGAAATAGGTGAAAACTTTTGAAAATTTAAAACTGATTGTGTTCAACAACAGGTCACTTAACGAATTTTTATATTCGCTATTAAATTTCCAAGGCTCAAGGGCACCTGTGACAAAGGTTATTAACGATATTTTTTTATAGCTATCAACGTGGAGTCTTATGGGAATTGATTGTAAATCATCAGTTAATTGCTCGATGCTATTTAAATGAAATTTTATATCATCATCATCATATGGTCGTCAGTCCTAAGAATGGTTGGACACACACCTCCACTCTTTCTTATCCTGAGCTAATTTTCGCATTTCCCTAAAACTAGAACTTCCTACTTCCTTAACCATTTGCAAACAGTAATCTAATCTATATCTACCTCTACTTCTTATAACTCCTGTTTCTCCCTCTAATATGTCTCTGACTAGTCCTTCATGCCTGAGAAGGTGTCCTATCAATCTATCTCGTCTATTACTTATTGACTTCCTCTTCATTTCTAACGTTCTCTATCCACGGTATCCTCATTATTCGTCTGTAACACCACATTTCGAAAGCTTCTAACCTTTTCTTTTCCCCCGCACCCACCGTCCATGTTTTTTGAAACAACCTTTTTCGAGTTTCTAAATTAACCGTTCGCGAGTATAGAAGTGACTTTTTTTATTGAAGGCGACCCTACCCTGCGCTATCCTCTGCTTTATTCCTACTACTCCTTCCGTCCTAACTTATTTGACTCCCTAAATGCCGAAAATCGTCCACTTCTTCTAATTTTTCGTCTCCTATCTTTATATTCGTTCTTTTCTTACTTTATCTTTCCTTGCATACCTGTATTTTTGTTTTACTTTTATTTATTTTCATACAATACTATTTTGTCAATACCGCTGCCATTTTATTTAAAGCTATCTCTAACTCCTCCTTGCTAGATGCTAATTATATTAATTAAAAATAAATCAAATTCGTTTGTTCTAACTAGAAATGACATTCCGTTTAATATAATGTCTTACCCTTACTGCATGCTCAATACAGGTTACGCCTTCCATATTTGAAATTAACCAATTAACTGCATCTGCAGCAACAAATGTGGTGGATGGTAAATTTTGCTGTGCATTAAGAATATTTAAACCAGTTATAGGATGTCTCAAAGCTTCTACTATTTCAGCAGATGTTGCAGTAACTCGAAGATGAATTTCTTGAATAAATACACTAAAAAAGTAAATATAAGTATTCAATAATTTGTGTTTTTGAAAGGAAAATAGCAAACAAAATAAGTTATCAAGATCTTAATATTATGGTATATGTATAAAAACATGATTTAAACTATCGACGATACATATTTGCTGAAAACTGTTAATAATTTATTCAATAATGTTTAAACGAGCCAACGTTTGACGAAACAATTGTCAAGTAAAAATCTATCTAAAAACTCAGATTAGTGTATTCATTTACTTTTAAATATTCGCAATGAATTTCCACTGTGTAACGGCAGATTCTATTTTATATAAATTACATCTTTTTTTCAGGAAACTTACTTTTCATCATTAGTCTCATGAGTTGTGGAATCATAGGTTTGTCCCTGGGAAGTTTCGACCGCTGGCGAGTTGCGACCTCTCTCCATTCCTTTAGAACCAGATCTTTTAAAAAACCAAAAGTATTGTAACTTCATATTTCTACCAGTACTGCTAATAAAATTAGCGTTTTGCTTTCAAAATGTCTAACACTAAACATGCAACAAATGCGTATTTACAGCGATAGTAGTGTAAATATTAAAATCATACAATAAAAAGAAAGAACACAACAAATAGTGTAGTAATTATGTGGTATTGGCAACTTGAATAAAATTGACTTTTATTTATTCACAGACAAGTATATGGCACATCTGAAGCTTTGGAAGATATATAATGGATCCTGCCTAATATAATAAAGATTTACAGAACTTTTAAACTTTTGATTTCTTGAATTTTAATTACTAANTATGCAGGTCAATGTAAATGATACGTTACAATCTAGTAAAAATTAATGTATTATCCCGATCAACTATAAATATTCGAAGAGTAATACTCAAGCAAAACAGGAATGTAAATAATTTATTTTTAGAAAATGTGATATTGTTGCAAGCATGTTCGCGGATCTTTCGGAGTTCATCTGAATAACAAGTATCTGTACTTAAAGATGCACCGTTTTAGTAAAAAAATAATTAAAATCAGTTCAGGTAGAAAAGTGCAGTAGCATATATTTATTTTGATGTTAATGGCGGGCAATAATAAAACATTCACAATTATTAGATACGATATGTTCTAACTCACAAAACAATAATAAATATTAATTTAGTATCTAATTTTTAATAGCTATAAACAAAATACTGGAAAAATATGAAAATTAAAATTTGTCAATTTTAAATAAAACTTGACAAACATATTATAAAATAATGCCAATTAGATAGTATCTAAAAAAGCCTGTGAAATATGACACGAATTGCTAAATTAAATTGCAATTACCTGAAACAAATCGTTATGAAGACTATCTTTTGCATCAGCGATGTAAACACAACCAATTTTCACGAAAAAAACTTCACGGCAACAGATTCTTATAAGTTCATTAACAAGAAAAAATGCAAATCACTTCAAATACACTTATTTCCAATAGTCTGAATACACATACACCTTATTTTCTGCAAAATTAAGATTATAGGTTTGAAAACATACATCAAAACTAAATATGGCAGCCATATTCTGTGCAAAACAAAGGAAATGTAGCTACGAAACCTGTTCAATAATCTCGAAACTTACCCGTTTTCCGTTTTAAAACTTGACAAAACCGCCTATAGGGGGAGCATTATTTTTAGGCTCGTTCACAATCAGTTGCCTTTTTTGAAGTAACCAGAAATAAACTTGTAACTAATATCAAACAATATTCATAAGATTATTATTTTAAATTTTGATGAAATTAATATTCAAAAAGTAATCATTACATTAAAATTTTACCAACTAAAATATTTTACTTGAAATTATTCTTAATTTATTGAAAATAGCAAATACAGAATATTAGCAAATATTTATGTTGTTAAAAAGTGCGTAAATGTCTTAACGAAAATAAAAATTATCATGATACTTTTAACAACATAACGAATACATGTTTGACTTAATATACCTGCTATTACATGTAAGTATTTTTACTATTGTTTTAATATCATTAAAGTAGATTAATTATAAAGACAGTACCTTTTTTAATTTATTAACGAAGCTAACTTTCGATGGTTTTAAAATTTTTTAATTGTGAACGCGCCATTCAAATAATTAACATTTTGGCATATACAATTTTTTGTGTGAAAAATTTTAGAAATACTGAAGATAATTAGTGGAATATTAAAACCAATATATTGTAGAAGTCAATTTATAATTTGTGCAGTTTCTAAAAATTCTAAATGTTATTTATTACGAAATATCTATATTTGCTAGAAAATAATATTAAGCTNAATCTAAATAAACATACAAACTAAGACTCTCAGGAAAAAGGAAAATACTCTTGGGGTGCTACAAGCGTCAGCTGCATTGTTAATTAACATTGTATTAAAAAAATATTTTTTTTTAGTTTTTTGCTTGTATCTCAGCTTCTGCTAACCGTAGAAAAATTTTGCAAGAAGCAAAATTGTTTGTTACGAGATGCTGTATAATGTATTGTTCAGAACGTTGCGATGTCAAGACGTAGTTTGGCTCACTGACGGTAAACTTCCACAAAGGTAAGGTGTTACGATATAGCAAATACCTCAATCATTCAAGCAATTATGTTGAAAAATAAGACACTACTCACATTTTAGTAATAAAATAATTTTGTTATGTGAACCTGTCTCATTGTTCTAGCTCATCGGATATTGATAAAAAAATTACCCTTGAATTAAAAAAAAACATTTTTTTTGTACTGGTTTCCATATGAGCATTTTTCTAGCTAAAAGTAGTTCATTTTCGGCTTGAACTATAAGTTCTTCTACTTGTCCAGAACAAATTTTCTTTTCAATTTCGCTAATATCTTTTGTAGATTTTAAAATTGATGATCTTTCATTTATAACTTCTTCTGTATACTTCCTGTAAGCTGCATCTTCTGGCATTTTTTGTAAAACACGTAAAATTTTATTATAAAGCGCACCCAACGTATGATGAGGTGTCTTAGCAACAGCTAAACCTGTAATATAGGTTGACTTTTTAAGATTTCCAGCCATTGCTGGTTACTATAATAAAACTTGCTTATTTGTAAATTATTTTTGATTTGATAGATTTACGTAATTTTTGAGGTTACAAAGCTTACTAAATATTACTACTTTTAGTACCAATTTAATAAATTAAACACACTATACATAAGCTAGAACAAAAGCGGCAAATTAACAATTCGGACAATATTGAACTTCTTGTTATCATAGTTTTGTTATATTCTGATAAAAATCATTAAATTTGAGTTTCTTCGCCCTTTTTTTTACAGGTTGACCCACTAACCTTTGTTACGTTTTTTGCAACCTCTACACCTCTCTTCATAAAAGATTCTCTGCAATTAATAACATCGTACAAATATTATAATAAAACGAAAAAATGAAATTCATGAACTTATCACTACATAGTATAAAACAAAGTCGCTTTCCCGCTGTCTGTCCCTATGTATGCTTAAATCTTTAAAACTACGCAACGGATTTTGATGCAGTTTTTTTTTTTAAAGATAGAGTGATTAAAGAGGAAGGTTTACATGTATAATACATGCATAATATAGTACGGAAACACTGATAATTTTAGAGGTTTCTAATGTGATGTCGTAAGTAAACACATTTTTTGCACTTACATTGCAAACGCTGGCTGAACCCCACGAGATAGATCAAAATAATGTACTACAATATTGTACATCTTAAAAGGGTCTATCTATTAGGGATTACCCACAATAACCATTTTTATCCTATACTTTTTGTGAGAAATAGTGACTTATTTACGAAGCGATTGTAGGCAATACAGCATTAATTCTTACCCAATTAGGTACCTTAAATACATTGTGCATTTAATATAGATCGATATGGCCCTTTACAGCATGTAATTTAAATGAATATTTTCGAAAATATTACAGATTTAATATGCAGGGACGTAACGGTTGCGGCGGTACCGCCCGGGAGGCCGGTTTGTATTGTCTAATGACAAAAAACTGTAAATGTTGTATATAAAGACATTCTGTAGTATATTTAGTATGTTCAGGGGGTATCTTTTGAAGATTTCCCCTTTTCGATAATAATCTAAACAAAACAAAAATATATTTAGTATCAGCATTGCACCCGTGCGAAGCTGGGGCGG